AAGAAACAACGGAACCAAATTCTTTACTTCAAAGGAGTAAGGATACAGAGTATTTCAGTTGAAGTGTCACAATGCGTATCAAGCTTCAAGCTTTTGGATTATATGTGATAAAAATCTGTGCCCAATTATTAGGAAAAAAATTGGTCTCCTCAGTTATTCTAACTTTGTCAAAAGTTGGTTAGAACCTCATTCTGCTCTCAGAGTTGACTGTGAGATGGCTCATGTCATCAGAGGCAACCGAAATAACTCCATTCCTGAAAGTGAAGTCAGCTGACTACTGACCATGCTTCCTCTTGCCACACCTCAGTGAGTCCCAGCACCGACAATGAGACCCACGCTCTGCTGCCCAAGTCGCTTCGTTTATTTATGAAGTGACCCAGCTACTGTGTGCCAGGTAGAGCACTTTAAAAGCCAGAAAGGTAGTATCATAGGATTCTGGCTCTTGTGGTCACAAAGTAGCTTTGGGGAAGGAAGAAAATATGGAAATAGGCAATTAGAATAAAGTAAATGTGACAGTTACTAGGGAATGGAGAAGAGGAAGAGTCCTTTAGTTAGACAGTGAAAATGTTTATGCTATTCAGAGCACATTATGAAGCTGGGCATGGTGGCTCACACCTGACATTCCAGCACTTGGAGGCTGAGGTGGGAGTGGCCCTCAGCCATTTCAGTTTCCTCTTTGGAAAGTTCACTGTTTAGATCTGTATCCCATTTTTTAATTGGGTTATCTGTTTTCTTGATACCTAGGTTTTGTTTGTTTGATTTGGGTTTTTTGGTTTTTGTTTTTCCTTGAGTTCTGTGTATACTTTGGTTGTCCTCTATTGGATGTGTAAAAATCTTATCCCTTGTAGGCTGCTCCTTTGTGTGAATGATGGTGACCTTTGCCATGCAGAAACCTTTCAGTTGCATGAGGTCTGTTTACTTATTTATTTAATTTGGTAAACTAATGGATTTTTATTGGGGTTACTAACAGAAATATGGGTAATAAAACAAGGATGACAAAAATTAGCTGTACCACCAAAAAGTCCTGCACCCCAATACCGGTGACAGCTGAGAGCTGCAACCCCGAAGCTCTGCATAGCTGGCAGGCGGCTCCCCACAGCCGGAGAATAGCTTCTCTCTGGGGCTTGGCTGGTCAGTCTCCTCCACCAGTGGCCTTCACCCCTAAGAACTGAGGAATGGCCTTTGAGAATCTTGGAACTTTTCACTTTCCCAGACGTGAAACATTGTGCCAATTTCCTGAGTCTCATGAGCCCCCTCTGTGCCCCCAGAAATGCTTTAAGTTGAGGCTACTGCTATACAACACTTATAACACTAAGCCAAGTCCCCCTGATGTCCTGTCAGTCTCCTGCCTCAGCCGTAATAGGGGCTTTGCTCTTGTCAACTTCCTTCATTTAAGGCCTAGTGATGAATGGTAACTGACCTAACACTTTGCCTATTTAAGGAGCAGAGTTCAATAAAAGTTAGTACTTAGTACTAAGGCACTCTTCTAGTCATCTTATGTTGGTGAATTAAAGGTTTTCTCTGGCTTATTGGCCACCAGTGTTAAATGCACACATGGTGAAAATCTTAGTATTCTTTTTTGGAGATTATCATATACTGCTATATATAATCTCCATTCCAAGTTTATAGAATAAGTCTTTTATCTTAACATTCCCGTATTTTTTTTTTTTTTCGAGACAGGGTTTCTCTGTGTAGCCTTGGCTGTCCTGGACTCGCTTTGTAGACCAGGCTGTCCTCGAACTCACAGAGATATGCTTGCCTGTGCCTCCCTGAGTGCTGGGATTACAGGCATTTGCCACTGTGCCCAGCTACACAAATAATTAATAATATCAAACCAAATAATTCTATAGCTTCTGTTGAGTTCCAGGCATGGGTCTAACCACTTTACAGATATTATATTATGGGATCATCATAGCTAAGTTTGGAGGTGAGTACTATTTCTGTGTATGCACGCACATGCACACACAAATCTCATTAGCAAATAGTGATACCTGGACTTCTTCCTTTCCAGTTTGTATTCCTTTGATCATCTTTAGTTGTCTAGCTCTAGCTAAAACATCAAGTACTATATTGAGTAGATATGTAGAGAGTAGACAACCTGATCTTGTTCATGAACTTAATGGAGTGGCTTTCTCCATTTAAGCTGATGTTGGCCATGGGCTTGTTGTAAATTGCCTTTATTATATTTATGTATGTCCCTTGTGTGCCTAAACTCTCCAGGACTTTTATTATAAGTGTGCTGGATTTTATCCAAGGCCTTTTCTTCATCTAATGAGATGAGCATGTGATTTTTGTCTTTTAGTTAGTTTATATGGTAGATTACACTTATCTACTGATTTATGATTTACTTATGTTGAACCATCCCTGCATCTCTAGGTTGAAGTCTGCATGATCATGATAGATGATCTTTTTGATGTATTCTTGGATTCAATTTGCAGATATTTCATTGAGAATTTTTGCATCTATGTTCATAAGAAAAATTGGTCTGTAATTTGTTAGGTCTCTGTGTGGGTATCAAGGTAACTGTGACCTCATAAAGTGAATTGGGCAGTGGTAGGATTCTGGTCTAAAACCATCTGACCCTGGGTTTTTGTTTTGTTTTTATTGGGAGACAATTAGTAGCTGCTTCTATTTTACTAGAGGTTATCGGTCTGTTTAAATTGCTTATCTCATCTTGATGTAACTTTGTAAGTGCTATCTAACAAGAAAATTATCCATTTCTTTTAGATTTTTCCAATTTGGTGGGGTATAGGTTTTTAAAAGAAATCATATTGGTCCAGGACCTTTTGGTGTTTAGTCTCCATTGAGAAGTCAGGTGTTATTCTAATAGGTCTGCGGTTATATGCTACTTGGCCTTTAATATTCTTTCCTTGTTCTGTAATTTAGTGTTTTGATTATTATGTGCCACGGAGAATTTCTTTTCCAGTTTAGTCTATTTGATATTCTGAATGATTCTTGTACCTTGATAGGCATCTCCTTTATCTTAGGGAATTTTTCCTTTATGATTTTGTTGAAAATAATATCTGTGCCTTTGAGTTGTGTTTCTTCTCCTTCCTCTATTTCTTTTATTCATAGATTTGGTCTTTTCATATTGTCCCAGATTTCCCAGATGTTTTGTACATTTGGGATTTTTTTTTTAAGATTTCACATTTTCTTTGACCGAGGTATCCATTTAAGTGTTCAGTGCCTTAGATTCTGTCTTCTATCTTGTCTTATGTTGGTAAGGTTTGCCTCTGAAGTTCTTGTTTGAATTCCTAAATGTTTCATTTCCAGATTTCCCTTAGTTTGGGTCTTCTTCATTGATTCTATTTCTATGCTTAGTCCTGAACTGTTTTATTCATTTCCTTCCACAGTTTATGTTTTCATAGATTTTTTTAAAAAGGGACTTCCCTCCATCATATTCATAAAGGCTATTTTAAGGTATTTGTCTTACTCTTCAGCTGTTATATTTCTCAGGCCTACTGTGGTAGGATTTCTGGTCTCTAATAGAGACATACTATCCTGGCTGCCACTGTGTTTTTATGCTGGTGTCTAGTCATCTAAGTTTTCAATGATTTTAATTCTAGGAGCTAGCTGATATCTGGTCTTGTCTTTGTTGGGTTGGTGTTTTGTTCCTTGTCTTCTGTTACCCTTTGTGGTTCTTAGAAGGATGTGGTGACTATATGCCGCCTGGTAGGGAATTCTGGGATTCTGCTAGGTGTGGCCACTGGGGGTTCTTGGTGGAATGTGTTTCTAGGTATTGGGGCTGACACTTAGGAATGAGGACAGGTGGGGATACTGAGGGGTCCACATGAGGAAGAAAGCAGGGTGTTCCAAGTTCTGTATAGTCCCTCTGTGAATGGGGGGCGGAGATTAAGGAGAGGCCCTAATAGGCAGCTTGCTAGAGATCTGGGAATGACTGGATTTGGAGGAGAGTAAAGATCTGAAGCTCACTTACCTGCTTCACTGGCCTACTTGCTTCTCTAGCAAGCTTGGCAGGCAGGATCCCAGGAAATGCCTGCTGGAGTTGGTGGGATAACAGGATGAGTAGAGAGGAAAGTTGGAGGATATCTGTGTGGTCCACTGGAGATGGGGTCAGAGAGGAGGGTGAGGCCACAATAGGTGGTCAGCTATAGAGTTAGGAATGAGGTGGGGGCACTGGATTGAGAGGAGAGGATGGAAAGGTGAAGATGTGCAGTTAGGCTACCTGCTTCCCTGGCCAGAGTATCCTGTGGGTTCCCAGGAAATGCCTGTTCTTGTGTGGCGCTGGGACAATGGGATAAGTAGGAGGAAGAAGGTTGGAAGAGCAGGTCTAGATGATCTAGTGGAGATGGGACAGAAAGGAAGGAGTCTGAAGCAGGTGGTCTGTTCCAGAGCTGAGGGTGAGACTGCGGGGGTGGGAGGTGGATTTGGAGGAGAGGAGGGAGAAGTGAAGATCAGTTACATTACCTGGTTCCTTGGCCAGAGTGGACTTTAGGATACTCCGTTAATAAAACACCATTGCAAAATAAAACCATGCCACTAACTTCTTATAGCTCTCTAAGCACTTGAGGCTAGATTAACAAAGGCAAGACCAGTGTCAAGACAGTTGTATTATTTTTAGGAACATCCCCATTGGCTAGATCAGGTTAATTTTAGACACAGTAATTGTAATAGGGCTGTTCACTACCACTGCTGCAAGAGTCTCAGGTTAAAGACGTGACCTAGAAGGAGGTGACTTAATTGTACAGCAGGCTCAGTACTCGATGTGGGGTCCCAGTCTCCAGAGGTTTGGGGAAACAGAATTCCCCAGGGTTAGCATTTAGTGAATGGGAAGAGCAGCAAGGGCAATCCAGTGATAGCCATCTGGCCTAACTACAGCCGGTTCTGAATTGATGTGAAAGTTGTTACCCCATCCCATCTTAGAGGGTATTCAAAAAAGATGAATGAAGGATACACAACTACAGGTGGGAGCGGAAGCCTTCCATCACCAGTCTCCATGTATGTTCTTAGAGATGGTTTCATACTGGCGACCACTTACAGACCGTTTCAATGGAAATTTTATTGAGCAGTCAGAATTCCCTTTACAGCCATTCTGTGGAGCAGTGTCCAGGCAACCTGCTCACCTACTTGAGCTCATCAGTTGCATGTAGGCACAAAGGTTTTAGTTTTGTCTCAACACCAAGTTTTAATTACTTGAGGTTACTGCTACAGCAAGAAGATCTTGTTGAAAAAAATGTGTTGAACAGTTTTCATCTTCTGTCAGTACAAATTAATGTCCTTTCCTTAAATAGTTAGGCATTTTTGGTTTTAGAATTGGTTCCCATCATAAAACAGTAAGACACCCCGCCTGTAAGGTTAGCACTAGAATGTCCAGTGTCACCGGCCTTTGCGTGGTCACCACAAGCACAGGCTCTGCCCTCAGGGCCTTGGAGACAGTGGTATGCTCTTTGGTATGCTGCATGCAGCCACGCTTACCTCTTCTGCCACCACAATGTCACTCTTGCTAGCAGAGGTGCCAAGCAGCTGTACCATAGGCCACACTAGGACTTTGGAGCTGTTTTACGTATTATGCACAATAAGCTGCAGCACAATAATCATGACACAACAACCAGCCAGTGGAAATATTAAAACATTTACAATCGATTACCATACAAAAATACACAATTTTCATCATAAAGTAGTGTTAATAGTACCTGACCTTCTTGTGAGTTAAGGAAAACAAGGTTCTTAAAGGAGTTGGAAATAAATGTGAGGGATGAGAATCAATTATCAGCCCCCAATAAATTTACAACAACTTATAGAAGTAACAAAGCAGCTTAATGAGGGGGGTGGTATTACTGTCCAGCTCCAGCGGTGACACCCTGGCACGTCTCAGAGACAGGGCTGCTGTGCCGAGGGCTGGAGCATCCTCATTGCTCTTTGTATAAACTGACAGGAGCCCTTATTTTCTAGGCAGCAGACGGTGGAAACACTGGGTTTAGCCATAAGATACGAACTATTTAAGACATCTCATAAGAACATCTGCCTGTTAAGTGCTGGCCTGTTAAACGCATTATTAAACATTATTAAACATTTAGAAAAGGTAAATAATTAAGTAGAAATGACTATGCAGCACATATGCACATATACAAGTCAAACCATCTTGAGAAATTCTGTTTTAGAAAAAGAAACAAACTAAATCAACACTTTACTATAAAGTACTTCAAAATCCAAGGTGGTAGTTTAAGACACCGCCATTGTGTGCTAGGAAATATCCACCTTTAAACAGGGAGAAGAAGTCCTCCAAACACGACCACTTCTCAAGCCGGCCCTGTGCAGTCAGCCAGGTTTCTAGCGTGGTTTGGAGCAAGGGCTTCAGAAGAGCTTCTCAGCCTCAGCACTGCCCCCAGAAGCCCGGAAGGGGAGCATCTCTGCTTATTAAAATGGCACACTTGAGGAAGTCTTCCTCCCTAGTCTGTGGCTGTGTCCATCTCCTGACCCCCACCAGTTATTTCTAAGGAAAGTGCTGGCCTGTGTCAGCGTGGCAGCTGAAGTGCTCGTGGGGAGATCAGAGCACTCCCAGCAGCCTGTGGTCAGAGGGGCATGCTCCTGTCCGTGGACTGGGCACCCTCAGCCATAGCTGGAGCTGTGCATCTGCTGCCTGAACAACTTCTAAGGGCGGGCTGCACCCCACAGATCGCACGGTGACTTTCTGGGGGACAAAAATCTGGCTCTGGAGACTCCTGAATATTGGTTTAGCTGGTTGGCAAAAAGCTATTTCCAATACGCAGTGGGTTCTAAATGCCCTAACTTAAAAAGTACACTTATATTTTCCTCTGTTATTTTAGCTTCTTTGATACTCTTAATGTCAAAGGCACTTCTAGGTTTAAATAGCTACAGTGAATGCTTTAAAATTACAGTGCATCTTTTAAAAGTTAGTTGTATGTAATTAAAGCAAATTTGTGATTTTAAAACACAGTGATCTAAGGTCCTAAACGAGGTGAACTAAAATAATAACATCTAACCCCAGAACACGAACCCTCAGTAGCTAAGTATATGGATGTCAACTGAGGCCTGTTGGGAGTTTTATGAGATGATCTGGAAATACATTAAATACTAATTTACTAACTTCCCTATCCACCTTCTTTGGGTTGTAATCTGTCTGATACCCTTTAGTAGGTGGTAGGAAAATACATGCTGATGAAATTCACGTAGCAGAGAAATCTCACTGCTGTGATCACAAGTGTAACATGGGGAATGTGTACTGCAGATGACCCAGATGGGTCAGACCCAAAAGATAGAGGACAAAACCCAAAGTCACCCTGCCCTTAGAGACTGAGGGCGGCGTGATTAAACATGTTTTAAATATTAGTGCAAATTTAAAAATATAAAATGGCCAGTTTTAAATGCCTCAGTTACCAATTTCAGTTCAGAGGGGGTAATGTCCAGCTTCTCTCTGTACATCCAGAAAATACCATAGTTTAGTCTTCATTTGCTAGCGTCTCAGTAGATAACCATATTTTGGCCCCACTTAAAAATTTGCTTAATGGCGTTCCTAAAATGCTTCTTCTGCATAGATTTCCTACAGGAGAAAATGGAAATGAAGAGGAGAGAAACTCTGGTGTCCCCAGGGTGTCGTGTGGACCCGTGGCTCTGAAGTACATCCTGCTCTGGTCCAGCTCTGCATAGCAGGCTTCCAGGGGGCCACTGCGATGCTGCCTCAGCATCCTGCCTAGCATGTCCACCTCATCAGCCAGGAGAGAGAGCTTATGGAAGGCCATGATGGAGCCCCCAAGGTTGATCTGAGCCTCAGGGACCCAGCGGAAGTAGCACAATTTCCACAATTTTATGTGTGTTCCGGAGAGACGTGGCAGAATAATGCCGTGCAGGTTGGCTGGTCTGGAGAACCACTCTTTAAAATACTGTTCCACTCCACTGCTCTGGCTGTCCGTGTGCTGAAGTGGGTCTGGCTTCAGTTTCAGTATTAGTGAGTTTCTCCGTGGAAGCAGTTCTTGGTCACTGATGATGCCGTTCTTTAAGCATGATGGCATTCCTCTCAGCGTGGAGCTGTAGCTCTTCTGCACAGAAGACAGATCTTGGCATTACTCTACTGGAGCACCCACTTTTCAAAAAAACTAGTGGCCCAATGGCTGCCAGCTAGGATTATTGGATAATGGGTGGGGGCCAGCCTTGAAGGTCATGATCCCTTTCTCCCTTGTGATACTTTGGCTGGCCTTCTCTGGAACTACATTTTTTGATTGACTCTCCCAGGTTATTAACATGTCAGACGGAGAATGGAAGGCAAGGATAACCTTCATAATTCATTTGCTGAGGGGCGTGCTCATAAGACTTTGGGAGTAAGGAGAAATTCCACACTAGCTGATTTCTAGGAAAAATGGGCAGATTAGGAGGAAGTCAGCTCAGAGCTGCCACCTGCCAACTCTTGTGCTGACGGGGCTTCAAGAGCTTCAGTCACCAAGAAAAAGTCAAGATACTGTCATATCAGTTAAGACGGGAATGGCCCCTCCAAAGCTGTACTAGCTGTCTGCAGGAAAAGTGGCTCTTTCTAACACTTCTGAAGACACTCTCTGGTGCTGCACCAACACGGGTCTACTGCTACTGTTAGCCGCTTTCTGCAGCTTACCTTCGTGCGCTTAAAAGACTTCCTGGAGCCGTTCTGTACACAAGGGGTGCTCTTGCCGATATAGAAGGGGTTGTGGAAAAGCGTCCGGTCCTTTGCTGTGAACTGCAGAGCCCAGTCCCAAACCGAGGGGAATTTCAAGCCCTTTTCATCCCCCAACTGAATATTTTTGCTGATGGCAAACTCCTGTAAAGCAAAGCACGTGTGTGAGAAGTGGCACACCCCATTTTCCCTGTGCCTCCACCCTCAAGAGAGTTCTTTGCTAAAGCACTCAGCTCTCATGGAGCGGCAGCTCTACCCTGAAAATGATGATGCACACTTGGGTGAGGTAAGCACACTGTGGCTGTTGAGCGTGTTCCCAGCTTTTGGCCCAAGGAGGCTTTTCATTAGGGGCAAGCAGGTGCTAGGTGGAGAAAAACACTCCCTAAAATCGTGCTGCGGACCCTAGACCACTGCCGATGTCCCTGCCTTAGGCTTACAAGCACGGTGACCGAGGCTCACAGCACTGCAAATGGAACACCCCAACAAGGGTGTGAACAACAGCATGTCCTCCTGCAGCAGAGAGAGAGAGGCCCCTCGGAAAGGTGAGCCCCAGGCCCTCTAAAAACTGAAGCAGTCACCCTAGGGACACACACACACACACACACACACACACACACACACACACATACGCAATGGATCCTTATCTGAGGACAAGGAACAGGTTATGTCAAGCTCACACAAGACAGTTCCCTGGAAGAAACAGATGGGAAAAGATATGACTGACTCTTACTGTCTGTTTAGTACCTTTTAATCTTTTACACACTTTCTATTTTAAAAGGCCAAGAATTTGAGCTGGGCAGTGGCAGTGCACACCTTTAATCCCAGCACTCTGGAGGTAGAGACAAGAATATCTCTGAGTTCAAGGCTGGCCTGGTGTACAGAGCAAGTTCCAGGACAACCAGGCCTACATAGTGAAACATTGTCTTAAAAAACAAACCAAAAGCCAAGATTTAGTCTGAAATTAGAAAAATGCTAAAGTGTAAATGTTATTTTTAAAATGTAGAGTAATCAGGCTATATGACTGTATCACAGGCAGGGGCAGCTTTTAACCATTGAGAAATGGTTAAAGTGTGTGTGTGTGTGTGTGTGTGTGTGTGTGTGTGTGTGTGTGCGCGCGCGCGCGCACAGACTTCTGAGCAACAAAAGCCCAGAAAGGGTGACTTCCCAGTAATGAAGGCACATCAATCATGAGGTGGTAAGAATGCTGGTGCACAACTGGGAAGCCATATTTTAGGGATACAGTATGTTTTCCTTACCTTGGGAGCCTCTAGGCCTCAGTTTTACATTAGAAAATGTTCAATCTTTGTAGGAAGACAGAATAAATTGCACAACAATTTCTTCTCAACCTTTCCTTCTCTAAAACAGAAACAAGAGTTTCTCTTGAGCCCTGGGTTCCCCAAAGCAGCAATGCTGAGAAATCTTGCTACCTCTGTGTCCTGAGCACTCTCATGTGGGACACGGCCTGCCTCCACCTCCCTCTTGACACTTGTTCTCTCCCTAATCAAGTCTCAGCTCCAGTCCTCTCCAGGAGGCTCCTCATTCTCAGCCAAAATAGTCTGATTAGTCCTCATAGTCTCTCACACCTGGACACATGTATGTGTCACAGTTGGCAATGTCACTGCAGAGTGAAACCAAAGGCACTTGATGGACCCTTTGCAGATGTGGAACAGTGCTTTCAGGCCTATTTCTGAGAGATCTGTGGGCCTAGCATTTTCTAGAAGGGGATAGCATTAAGAATTTGTGCTATCCTGGGGCCTCAGAGCTGGAGCTGAAGGGCAGAGAGTGGGTGGTCTCTGCTCAGTTCCCCTCAAGCCTGCAGGAGCTACCCTTTGACTTCCCTGCACAGTCACTACATATCTGAGCTCTTCCCCTGTGGGGCCACATGGGGTGAGACAAAGCAAGAAGGCTCTCAGCAGTGGTAAGGGGGGCTGGTCTCGATAGGACTCCATATTCTTCAACTTCCAGCTCTATGGACGGTCACCACAGAGGCAATTCCACCCAGTGGCTGCCATGGGACATGAGGGACTCTGAGAGCACACACAGTAATAGCATCTGCAGAGAACTTCCATCTACCTTTGTGCCTAAACTTCCTGTTCCACAACTTAAGAGGCAGTTGAAATAAAATAAAATAGAGAAGCAGTTGAAATACAATTATTCTACTGATCTATCAGGAAATAAATGTATTTAGTTGTTGCTCAGCAACTCTGATGTCCAAGGAGTAACCCAAAAGCACAAGTGAGAGATGGTGGCTCACTATTGTGAGCCCAGCTATGCAGGGGACTGAGGCCAGGGGATTGCCAGGTCAAGTAACTTCCAGACATTATCTCAGTATTGGAAGAGAAAATAAAGATGTCAGTGGGGAGGAATTGAGCTAGGGCTGTGGCCCAACAGCATGTACAAGGCCTGTGTTTGATGCTCCACCAAAAAAAAAATCCAAAAATATATTTAAGGTGGTTAAACTAATTGGCATACTTAAACACATTTACTATGAGCAATTTACAGAGAAAAAGAAAATGTTCATTAATAGAAGTAAAGTTAGTAGATTCTTTTACGCATTCTGAAATTATTTTGAGTGGTAAATTTTAATTACATGTTTTAAACATGCAGTTAACTGTAATTCAAATATATTTCAAAGCTGTAAAAGAGAGAGGGCACTGGAGAGATGGCTCAGTGGATGAAGCACTGAGTGTGCAAGCATGAGGACCAGAATTTGGATCCCCAGAACCCATGTAAAAGCAGAGCAGGCATAATTCAGGAGACAAAAGAGTAGCTGCAGCCAGCATGTCACTTACTGTGCTCTGCTTCACCCGCTGATGAGGAGAGTTGAACAGGAAGGTGCCGAACAGAGAGATCCGGGTACTGTCACACAGCACAGCTAAGTATGTCTCAGAGAACTCAAAGGCAGCTGGATATTGCTCTAACAGCTGCCACGTGGTATCCAAGAATAGCAAGAATAAAGGAGACTGGCAAACACAGACAGATAGAGGGGTTAGTTAATGCTGCTCTCTGGTTGTCACATTTATTCCTAGATTTATTGCTGACCCTAAAGAGGCCAACATCTAAAGCTTCAAACACTTGGCAGAGCTGAGCTAGGGCCATCTGAACAGATTAAACCTATGTCAAGACACACATTTAATTAAAAAAAAACTGCTTACCACACTTGCAACAAACAAACAAACGAGCACGCTGCCATGTACGAATGCAGGAAAGCAACATGTTTAAACATTCTGCAAACGGCTCTACAGAACAACACAAAGCACTCAGCCAAACTCCATAACTTCTGGTTGATCTGCAGGCTCACCATCCAGGAAATCCCCCAAGTTTCATAAAAGCAGTTTGGCATCAGCCTTCGGCCATATGGGGTCCCCGGGAAGCATCTGCTTGTGGCTCATTTGGAAGCACTACGGCTAGTGCCTGGTGCTTCCCAACCTATCTGCCTGGCTTCTGCAGTTAAGCAAACAGGGTCCCAGGAAGCCACGGCTGTTACAAAGATGTTTTGCTCAAAATCTCAGTTCCTAGCTCTGATGGTCTATTTTCAGGAATGTGAAACTCCAAAGATGACTTTTGTTAGTTAGGATACTCTTAGCACATAACTGTATACAATACGGGATTGCATAATGACATTTCCATATATGTATATGAGGTACTTTGATTGTTACCACCCGCCCTCTTCAACATATCCCCTCCCAATTCCTTTGCAGTCCTTCTCTCCACATGGGAGAAAATGTGTCATCTGTCTTCCCAAGTCTAGCTTATTTTGCTTTACCATCATGATCTCCAGTTCCACCACTTTCTTTTTCATGGCACAGTACTATCTATGTCTTGTATACATATGCTGGCTTCTCCTTACCCATTCAGTTGGGATGATGCCATAGTGAACATGGGTAGTACCTCTTATTTGGCCCGCTCTGTATACAGCAAGGAGTAGCCTGGCTGGATAATAAGATAGCTCCTGTTTTACGTCTTTAGGAGCCTCCATACTGATTCCTATGGGGATTGCACTAATTTCCATTCCCGCCAGCACTGCAGAGGAGTTCCCTCTATCTCTCATCTCCACGGCATTGGCTGTTTTCCTAAGCCTGCACTTGCACTTCCTCTATGCTTTTTTTTTTTTTTAATATTATAAGGTCTTTGATTCATTTTGAATTGATTTTTTTTTTTTACAGGGAAAGGAAGGAATCAAGTTCCAGTCTTTAAATGTAGGTAATCTGGTCTCCCAGCAAGCACTTATTAAAGAGGCTGTATTCACTGTATTTTTTCAGTTCTTTTGAAAATCACATAGCTGTAATGGCATGGACTTATCTCTTAGCCCACTGTTTCTTTTCTATAGCCTGCATGTCCTTTTATGCCACCCCTATGATGGCTTTGTTAACTTTACTCTACAGTATGATTTGAGGTTATGTATTGTGGTACTTCTAGCATTGCTGCTGCTTCTTCTATTTTTGTTAAGAATACTATGTCCTAAAATAGGATCTACTTTGGAGAAAGTTCCATGAGCTGTTATGAAAATGTGTACCCTGTAGCTCTTAGGTAGAATACCCTGTAGCTGTCCATTAAATGTATTTGATCTGCAATGCAGTTTAATTCTGATGTTTTTGTTTTTATTCCTCTGAATGACCTATGAATTCAGGAGAAGTTGTGTTAGTTACTTTTCTCAGCACTGAACTCAAATACCCGACAAGAAGCAATCTATAGAAGGAAAGGTTTATTTTGGCTCACAGTTTGAAGGTGTCTAGTCCATGGTGGGAAAGCATGGTAGCAGATATTTGTGACAGCGGCTAGGCACACCTACATGGATCAGGAAGCAGGGAGCAGACAGGAAGTGGTACCAGGCTATGAATCACAAAGCCCAGCACTAGCAAGTCACTTCCTATGGTGAGGCTCCACATCCTGAAGATTTCAAAGCCTTCCAAAACAGCAGTATAAACCAAGTGTAAACATATGAGCCTATAGAAAACATGCCCATTCAAACCACAACACTCTGCCAATGGTCCCTACAGATTCATGACTAAATGCAAAATGCATTTAGTCCAGCTCCCTAAGTGCCCTGTCTCATAGCTCTAACATTATTCAAAAGTTTAAAGCTTGATCTCTTTTGAGACTCAAAGTAAACTTTTATTAATGAGCACCTATAAAATTAAAGAATAAGTTACTTCCAAAATAGACTGGTATAAACATCCCCACTTAAGAGACAGCAATGGAGCAAAGGAAAACAACAACACCAAACCAAACTAAACAAAAAAACCCCACAAAGCTCATAAAAACAAACAAACAAACAAACAAACAAACAAACAAACAAACAAAAACCTGTACCAAAGCAAGGTTGAAACCCTGCCTGGACTTGGGCCTTGTGATGGGTCATGGGTGCTCAGACTGGCTTCTATAGCCCTACCTCCAACTCTGGTGCCTTTGACATATATGACCTCTCTCTGGGGTCAGTTTCAGCCAATGCTGGAAGCTGTTGGCATCTCCAACATCTTGGGGTCCTCACTGCAACTTAGGTTCCACCTTCATAGCTTCAGGTATGGAACACCTGGGTGTCCACACAGGAAATCCAACCTCGCAACATGGTTTTGTTGAAAATTGGTGCAAACCTTCATGTACCAGCCCCACCCCAATACTTACATTTTGCATGCCTGTAAAACCATTACCATGTTGACAATGCCAACTTTTCTGGCAGCTTGAAGTATTGCTTGAATACTTTGGACCACAGCTGCAAGTTGGGTATTTTGCTCACTGCTTTTGAGTACTTTGTCGTTGAACCTAAGAAAGCATTTTCCTGGCTGCCCTATCCCATCAAGGTACTCTGAAGCTCTGTCCTTTGAAATTAATTTGCATTTGAGTGAGGCCTTGTCCCAAAAAACACCTTTCTTACTGTTTCTAAACTTCAACATTTCTCCTTCATGATATCCATCTTTTTAAGAATCACAGCCATTCTGCAGGGATCCTGTCACCAACTTTAATCTGGTTCAAGCTTTTTTTTCCTCATCAAACTTCACCTTTCTGTCTACAACTCTAACCACATACGCAGCCTTCCCTTGCCAGTACATTGTTAGTATTTCCATACTCCACTTTCTGCTCCCCCTCACTACAAATCCCCTCTCACTGTACATGTGGGCCAACAAAGAGAGCAGTAACCGTTCTCAGCCTGAATGCTCTGCTGTCTTGAAATTTCCTCTGTCAAACAAATTAGACCTTTCCTTTGACTTCTGCCTTATTCCAGTTCTCAGGACCCGAGTGTAACACAGCTACACTGTTTGACAGATTATTATACAAATGTCTTCTATTTCTTGTTCCCTTTTGAAACCTTGTGAGCATGGTTTTCACACTCCAGGTGTCCACACAATTCTTGTCTACACTACAATGGCTCATTAGGCTTTGTTTAGAGTTCTAGGGCTGTTATACTAAAGGTCCAAATTCCTCAATGTTTCTTCAAAACACCAGTTCTAAAGGCCTATAAATTCAGTTAGTTTTATGCCAGCGATGGCTCCACTTATTGCTCCCAGTTTTCTGTTCCTTTTTTCCTTACTGTGACCAAATACCCAACAGGAAGCAACCTACAGGAGATTTATTTTGGTTGTGATTTGAAGGGATAAAATCCATATGGTAGGGAAGATGCCACAGGGCGGCTGGCTTTCAATAGCAGAAGTTTGGCAGAGGCTTGTCCCAAGGACCAGGAAGTGGAGGGCAAGATGTAGGGTCAGGTTACAAATCTTAAGGCCCACCCCAATCACCTTTCAAAAGAGGATCCTCCTCCTAAAGGTTCTATTAAAAAGCCAACCAATTGAAAAAGCAAAAAACAAAAACAAAACAACAACAACAAAAAAAAACCTTGTTGTTCAGGGATCAACTGTCAAACACACAAACCTGCAGGGGCTATTTTTATATTCATGCTGTAACAAAGGAGTATACCATCCATAATTGTTGTATTGGGGTTGGCCTTTATGTCCAGGAATGTTGGCTTTATCTAACTTCAGAATCTGATGCACATATGTTTATAACTATTAGGTATTTTGATGAATTGTTCATTTTATCAATGAAGTGATTTTATGTCCTCTAACTAATTTTGAAATCTGCTTTGTTGGATATGAATATAGCTACTCCTGATTACTGAAAGATTTCATTTGCTTGAAATACCTTTCTCTATCCTTTCACTTTCAGACTATATTTTATCTTTGCCAGTGAAGTATGTTTACTGCAGGGAGCAAATAATTGGGTCTTGTTTTTTTAATCCAATACTTTTGACAGTTTGTGTCTTTCAATTAGAGATTTGAAATCTTAAGGTTTTGAGTTACTACTCCTGTCATTTGTTGTAATTCTTGATTCATTCTTCATCGAATCTTCGAGTGAGACTGCTTCCTGGTTGTGTTTCTCGTCCTCTTCCATGTGTAGGATTCCCTTCAGTGTCCTCTACAGTGACGGCTTAGTGAATTTTAATCAATTTCATGGATTAAGTTTAGGTCTTTGTTTCTCTTTTGATTATGAAGCATAACTTTGCTGCCAAGAATAACCTAGGTTTATAGTTTCGTTTGTTTGTTGTTTGTTTTCTTTCAGGGCTTAAACTACATCACTTTAGGTCTGCTGGGACTTGAATGTTTCTGCTTAGGACTCCACTGCTATTATGGTAAGTTTGCTTTCCATGTGACTTCCATGTTTCTGTCCTGCAACCTTCAACAGTCTTCCATTTCTCTGCACACTTAGTATTTGAAACTGCATCATGATAGAGCTAGTCATTACTCGGTGACTAGCAGCCCTGGCTACTTGTGCTGTTTAATTTTTGTCAACCTGACAGAATCTAGAGTCACCTGGGAAGAGAGACCCTCAATTCAGGAACTGACTCCATTAGACTGGCCTATGGGGATGTCTGTGGAGCATTTTTTTATATCAGTTATCAATATTGGAGGCTCAGCCAATTGTAGGCACCTGCAGTCAGGTGGTCCTGTGCTGCCTCAGAAGGAAGGCAGGAAAACTATGGAAAGCAAGCCATCCAAGAACCATTCCTCCATGGTTTCTGCCTTGACTTCCCTCAGTGATCAACTGTTCTGTCAAAGTATAAGGTGAAATAAACCCTGTCCTCCCCAAGTTACCTTTGGCTGTGGTGTTTATCACAGCAACAGAAAAGCAAACTAGGACAGTACTCTGGTAAAGGACCCAAGTTTAGTTCCCAGTCCTAACATTAGGTGGCCTCCCAATCACCTATAACTCCAGCTCCAGGAAAGCCTAATTCCCTTTTCTGGCCCTCGCGCGCGCATGCACGCACGCACACACACTTTAATTATAGATGATATCTGACGGCCCTTTTTTAGTCATAAGTGCTCTATCTGGATGTCCATCTCCCAAAATTTGGGAAATTATCTGCTGTTGTTTTACTCAAGACTCTTTGGCTTATACCTCTTTTCATTCTTCTATGTCCATGACTCTTTAACTATTTTTTTAAAATTATATCCCAAAAATACTATTCCTGCTTTCTACTTTTTAAAACTACTGTTTGTTCTAATTTATCTATTTTGTTTTCACATCCTGATAGTCTGTCTTCACTTGATACAATCTACTGGTGAATGTTCCAACTAAATTTATAATTTATTCAAGGTATTGTTTCATTTTCTAAAATTCAATTTGATTTTTTTTGAGACACTTGAATTCCTCTTTCACATCCTAAATTGTCTTTAAAATTATTATTACATTCAGCTGCTTATTTGTATTCTCTTTTAATAAATTCAGATATTCAGTCCTCTCCTTTGATTCCACTGATCTTTTTTTTTTTTTCAAGGCAAGGTTTCTCTGTGTAGCCTTGGCTGTCCTGGACTAACTTTGTAGACCGGCTGACCTCAAATGCACAGCAATACGCCTGCCTCTGCCTCCCAAAATGCTGGGATTACAGGTGTGCTCCATTGATCACTCCATTGATCAGTCATTCACTTCATTATCACTAGATCAATTATTGTGGACTTAAGTTTTGGAGGACCATGTTGCTTTGTTTTTGTTTTTGTTTTCTGTTTCTCGTGCTTCTGCACCCGGACTGAGTAGAAACACTGACCATGGTGCTCTTTCAGTTGAACCTCTCACTCCAGTGCAGACAAACCAGGTTTTGATTTGCTGACAACTGGGCTGCAAGTGCAGCTTGGTTGCTAAACACCCAACCCATGTGTTTGAGGCCCAGTCATAAGGAAACAAACTGTAAGACGACATACAGGGAAACAGCTGGAAGGGACGTTGCCCAAGCTCTGTTCTCTAGGATGCAGAGGTCAGGGGGTCATCTTTCCCTGTGTGGTAATGTTGAGTTTCAAACCCGGGACCCCTACCCCAACCCTGTTATTATACAGGCAATTCCACTGGCCTGCTCTCAGGGACCTGACAACTGCTTACATCATCACCTGCCACCTGCCAGGTGTGCCAAATGTGTCCTGCAGATAAAAGGACCCGACAGCCACCCCAGCCTCTGCATTGCTCATTCCTGCACCCATATGTGCTCTCTCTCTGTCTGCACCCCCTTCTCTGTCTCCCTATTTGCATGGCGACTTTCCTGGCCTCATACTCTAAGACCAGCGAACCTGCCAGGGAGCTGCCCCCAATAAATCTGATTTTATACTTTTAATTTGGCTTGAATTGGCTTATTGCATCAATGGAAAAAAAAAACTATTAGGTAATCTCTTACATTAATTTGAATTCCAATGTATTACTTAGCCTTTAACTAACAAAGCTAGAATGTGTTAAATCAATATTGAAAAACTGAAGAAAGAGGAACCTACCATTTTTACAATAGTAAAAATTTATCTCATATATATTTGAAAGGTGCTAATTTGAGGCCTAGGAAATGGCTCAGTGGGTAAATGTACTTACCACATGAATGCAAAGACCTGAATTTAATCCCCAAATCCCATGATGGAAGAGAACTGACTTGTGAAATTTGTCCTCTGACCTTCACAGGCATGTCTTAGCATGTCTTAGCACTATGCATTCAGTGACACACACACACACACACACACACACACACACACACACACACACACAC